GGCCTATGGAAGGCACAGGTGAAGCCCCAGTAGCCTCTAGATCTCTGATCTAGATATATTCACTTTGCATTCTGGAGTGCTGTCCTCCAGAATGCAAAGTGAATATATCTAGATCAGAGATCTCTTTTCAGTGCAATACTCCTAATAAGAATACATGGGTCTAGCAACCAAGGGGCAAAAGCAAGAATTATCATTCTTACCCTCATTCTCAATGACCCTCTGGGGAAATTTGCTTCCTGTCCCCACATCTCTGGACTCTACAGGATTAGAAGTCCTTGTTCCCAAAGGGGGTATACTATTGCCAGGGGACAGAGAATTTCACTGAACTATGAATGCCACCTGAATGTTTTGAACTCATTGTGTCCTGGCCCAATAGGCAAGGAATCTCCATCTTGGCAAGGGTGATTAACTCCAATCAGTAGGAGAAGGTACGGCTTTAATTCAAGGGGGACATGAAGGAGCATATATAGAACCCAGGTGGTCCCTTAGGTGCCTCTCTGTAACTGTATATGGACATGTGCAGTAACCCTTGCCTTAGAAGGTATACTAGGGTCTCAGACCCTTTAGTTATGATGGTTTAAGTCATACCACTAGATAAGCCATCAAGGTCTGCCAAGTTAATAGCTGAGGATGTGTTGAATTGAGAATGGACAGTGGAGGAGAAAGATGGTGAGCACCTGCTGCAGCCCCCAAGAGATTACAGTTTGTCTCAATGGTCTCCCTCTTTTATCTTTCTCCTCAGGAGGAGAGGGCCATATGAACCATGAGGGAGCTGTTGCTCCAACATGGATGGAGACATAGACCTGTGCTATGTAAGGGGTGGACTCTGGCAGCCACAGAGTGAACTGCTCCAACCTCTTCTCAAGAGAGGCTACTGCCAGAGGTGTAGGTAGCTGATGCCTGCAGCTGCCACAACTTTGGGATTCACCATGCTCTCTCCTCGGGTTGCTTCCAGTCAAAGGCTGAGCACAGCAGGGTGCCAGAGCTGGGCTGCTCCCATTCAATCTGGGTCTCCTTTAAGGAGGCCTCTTTGCTCTGTAGTGCCACGCTAGCCTAACCAAGGCTTTCTCCAACCTTTATGTCTGATGACGTCCTACCACAACCTGCTTCCTTCTGACTCTCTCTATGCATATCAGATCTATAGTATGGTCTGAGGTTCTCCCTACTTACTACTGTTTAACTGTCCTACTTTCTCTTCTCATCCCTTATAGGTTTTCTCAATATGTCTCTTGGCTTCCTGATTATATCTTGGCATCTGCTTCCTGAAAAATTCAAACTCACATAATGGATTTGGGCAAGTTGGTAAATTATTTCTTCATCTTTAAAATAAGAAGTAGGTGGAATAAGTAAGTAGAGCTATATCATCCTAAGTCGCATGTAATTTTAAGTCCAAACTTAAACATTTCTATAGCTTTTTAAAGTAAATTGGGAGGAATAGTTAGAAAATTATTATTCTTTATTCATATTTGAAACAAACGAGTTTCTTATTTGTTCATCTAATAAACTATATGGTTACTTATCAAGTCTTTATTGCTCATAAATTAAGGAAATCTCAAAGTAAAATCAAAGGAAATACATTTTATCAAGCTTGAAGGCAGAATTTAAACAAAAACCTAAATGGCAAACATGTTGATTGTTCTTATCCTAGCCAAAAACTAAAGCTATGCTTGAATTTTGTTTCACAAAAGCAGGAAGCATTATAAATTATATAAGTGATAATTCACGAGCTTTAAGTGATATTAACTAATTTTTATTTTATTTCATCACCACATACTGATATCATCTTTAGTTAAGGTGGGAATACTACAATCAGATTAATTCTTACCTTGTTCATATAATTTTCTGATGCTCTCATATGTGTCATCAAAAAGAGCAAATTAGGAAAAGGTTAATTTTGTGTTTACTAGATGCCGACCAGAACATTATGAATGCTTAACTAATGTTTAGACTATATTAGTGCACTTTTTAGCAAATTTATGGTATTGAAAAACATAATGCATCCTATTCAGAAGCAGTTCTTTTTCACTAAAGAAAAATGTGTTGGCAACTGCTCTGTTACCATGGATTTATGATTCTAATAGGTCCTGAAAATAAAACCCAATCTTTGCCAAAATCTCACTTATGCTTTATATCAGTAACATGCCCTTTATCCCTGCTTATGCATTTGGGAAACAGAAAAACAACCCAATTAGTAAAAAATCCACTAATTAGAACTCTAAAAAACTGATTTTTGAGAGAGGAGATGTGTGGGAGCTGACACCTAACATACTTTATTTTTTATGAAAAAGAGAAAATTGTCCAGAATTATGTGAAATTGAAAAAAGAAGCAAACATTTTTCCCTAATATGTTTGGAAGTGTTTAGTTCAAACTTAAGCCCTTTTCAATATCTAATGGTGTTAAATCACTATAGAAGACCTCAATCAACAAGAAAGATACAATTATATCTGAGACATCCTACCTGCAGGAAAAGATGTGTATTATACATTAAATTCTTTCATTCTGGTGACTGCAGTAAAAGGAGGGACCAGGAGGTTTAACCACTAGTTAACTAGAAAATCGACAACTTTGTTCAGGTCTTAAGTTTACTTGCATGTTAGCATGACCTGGAGAGCTTTCCAAATTCTTATCACCCAGGTCCACTCCAGGCCAATTAAATTAGGATTATTGATACTTTAAAAAATCCCACAAGTGACGCCAAGATTGTGATCCATCACCTTGGACACTAGCATTTATTTTAAGTTTTAAACCAGATTAGTTTAAATAACAAATCTCTACTGCTGGATAAAGGCATATTTGCCAAGTGACCTTTAATTTTCACCAGAGTGCTGGGAAAAGAATGAAATCCAAATGCCTTATTAATATTAGATCTGATGGTCTTTCGATCGCAGGGTGGCCATATACCCCAGTTCTAGGCACGAAATAGGAGACCCTGCTGAAATCTTTTCATTCTGGGATATAAGAACAGAGCCCTATTGGGAAGGAAAAAGTGGATTTCATTTCTTTCCTCCATTTTTACTGACCCTGAACTCTAAAATAAATTCTGAAACTGAGTAGTACATCTTGCAATCAAAAAACAAGTATGAGAATAAAAGCTCAACATGTTGACGATGGTGTTGGAACAGAGATTGAAAGAGCTTGGGTCTTTAGTGACATTGTTATGTCATTGGACTGCAGAATTTAGAGTGCTGCTTGTTTCCCTTTCCAGGATTTTTTTTTTTTTTTTACCTTTTTGGCCAGCATTTACTTGTCAGGTGTTTCAAGGTATCTAATATTCCCCACTACCATACTATTTGCCTGAAAGGTACTGCTGATGGGTCTTCTACAATTCTTGTTCCGTAGTCTCTTAGCATTTACTGGAGACTTAATGGATTAGAAAAAAACAGTATAGAGATAGTTAGTCATGTTGAGTGGAGTCAGGTCCAAAGCTGCTATGTTTCCTCTTTCTCCATAAAATGAGGAGAAAAGACTTACTTCAAAACTGTTCTTATGAGACGTAAATGAGCTGAAATGTAGACATACTTGTAACAGTTCAGGCAGAAAACAAGTACTTATCAAATATCTATGTGCTGAGTAGTGACATAGGTCTCTGTAAAATAATGGTGGCCTGTCCTCAAGAAGCACAGTCTAATGCCAAATGCCTTAAAGGGTAGAAAACAAGGTGAGTTGCAAGACTAAAATCTGAAGCTTGACACACCTGGGATTGAGTCCCGATTGCTCAACTTTCCACATGAAGTGGGTTGAATGGTCTTTAAAGTATATGCCCATCTCCCAGAACCTGTCAAAGTGATCTTATTTGGAAAAAGGGTCTTTTCAGATGTAATTAAATCAAGGACTTCCAGATGAGATGAACTTGAATAATCCCAGTGGGCCCTAAATCCAATGTTGGGTGTCCTTTAAACAGATGGAAAGAGAAGACAGACACAGAAGAGAAGACCGTTAGAAGACAGAGGCAGAGGTTGGAGCCGAGCAGCCACAAGCCAAAGAAACGGCAGAAGCTAGAAGAGCAGCCAAGGATTCTCCCCTGAAACTTCAGAAGAAACACAGCTCTCCCAAGAGCTTCATATCTGACTTCTAGCCTCCAGCACTGTTAGAGAATAAAATTCTGTTGTTTGACACGAACAAGTTTTTTTTGTCAGTTCATCCATAAAATGGGCATACTACCCTAACCACAGTCTTATTTCCAAAGTGGAAAATGCAATGACTATGGTATCTAGTAACATGCAGACATTTAAAATGGCACACGTTTATTGAGAGCTTTTCAGTTTGTTAGATCAGAAAAACCAAGGCTCGGAGAAATTTAGTCATTTGCCCAGAGCCACACAGCCAGCAAGTGAACGCCAGGTTACAATTCAAACCGACTACCGAGGTATTCATTTAAGCTGCATGCTAGACTACTCAGAAAAAGAAGAAAAAAAAAGCAAAGTAACACACTCTAATAACTTTAGCAGTCGGGCACAATGGCTCACGGCTGTAATTCCAGGACTTTGGGAGGCCGGGGCAGGTGGATAGTTTTAGCCCAAGATTTCGAGACCAACCTAGGCAACATAGCGGGACTTCGTCTCTAAAAAAAGAAACAAAAAACCCCCACAAACTTTAGCTATTCTAATATAGTATCTAGTAACATGTAGACATTGCATTTTCCACTTCAGGAAATAAGAGAATAGCTATTTAGCTATTCTAATGTTAGTTCAGACAACAGGATTAACCGCCTCTTGATAACCGCAACAGTCAAATCTCTACTACGGTATCCTGTCAGCCATCGCGAAAGGCCTTCGTCTCGGTCATAGCAGAGGAGCTACAGGGTTAATGACGTCACTTTCAAGAGCCGCCGCCACCTCCTCGGTTCGACGGATCCCTTCAAAGGCCAAAACCCGTGTGTAATTCGGCCCTCGCGTTTCTGGATGATGTATAACAGGAGCGGACCAATAGAAACTCGAATATACGTGCTTCCTGGTAAGCCCCACCCCTTGGCCCTAGCTCCGAGGCGGAAGCCGGAAAAAAAGCAGCCCAGAGGGCGGAGCAAGGAGAGGAAGCGGAAGCGGTGGTCGGGGATCCGCTGCCGGAGCTAGCGTGGGCCCCACGTGTTCGGTGAGTGTAGTGGACTCAATGGCTCTCCAGGGAGGCGTTCACACCCTGCTGAGCGCGGGACAGGAGGGTCTCTCGGGGTGTCACCCACTAGACAGTCTTCTGTGGCCTTTTTCTGGGCTAGTTTGGGGATTGACGGGAGACTGGCGAAGAGGGCGGGGCTGCGACCCCTATTCCTCCCATGCTGCCCTGGGTACTGGTTAGACAGAACTAGCTTCAGTCTGAAATCCTGGCCTGTGCTAGTTCGAGCAGCCTTATTGTCCTATGTTTGACAGTCATCCACTGCAGTGATGGTGCTGAGCTTACAGACAATGTACAGTTGCGGGCTAGAAGCGCTGGGAAGGAGACAAACTTGGTGCTGAGCTGGAAGATAGGGGAGTCTGAAGAAGTGATCTTTAAGCGGAGATCTTATGCATGGGTGGGAGGCAGCCCTGAGATCTGGAGACTCAGGGACTGCTTCAGTCAGAGGCAACAACGGGCTAAGTCCCTCAGGCGGGAGCTAGGAGGACAGTGGTCAAGATACAGTTTGAGGAACAGAGTGGGACGAAGTTCTAAGTACGGAAGGTGTTAAAAAAAAAAATGTATGCACATTTTAAGAAAGGAAAAAAATTATTAATATTGTATTTTTAAATATATACCGATAACAAAGATGAATACAAGTCACGTTTGACTTATGCAATTGCAAGAGCTATTCAAAGTGGTTACCATCAGCGTCCAGACACTTCTGATTACGGCGAACATCTCTTAACATCTTTTTAAATGTGTATACACATTCTTTTTGTCACCGTCCGGTATAGGGCCTTGAAGACCGTGGTGGGGATTTTTGTTTTTCTTTTCCATACTCTGGGAAAACATTCCCATGTTTAGAAAACGTTGAAGGCTTATACATAAGGGAGACACATAATAGACCCTGGTTCTCTTTAGAAAATTTGTTTGATTTAGAAGCTCAGTAAGGAGGTTAATGATGATTTGCTTTAGGGTGGTGGTTGTGTAGTTAGAGGATGGAGTATTAGAGGTATTTTTAAGAAGGATTTAAGAGAACTTACTGATGGGTTGCATGTGATGGACAAGGGAGAGGAAAATGTTAAGGATAATTCTTTGATTTCTTACTTGAGCAGTGGAGTAGATGATGTGCCATTAGCCGAGATGCAGAAAAATAGGGCAGGGAAAAGTAGATAGGATGTTGTTTGGGGACGATTTGCAGTGAAAATAATAGAGAATTACGTTTTGAACTTTAAGAGTAAGGTCCCTGTTAGATACATAATTAGAGTGTCAGGAAAGCAGTTAGATATACAGATCTGGAGCCTAAGAAGAAGTTTATAATGGAGAAGTAATTTGGTAGTACTCAGCATGGAAAACCAGGAGGTTGAATGAGACCATCAGGGGGATGTTCACTAGGATGAAGACTTGAGGAAAGCCAACGTTTAGAGGTTGGATATTGCACATTTACTGTTTTCTTTTCTTTTTTTTGAGTTGGAATCTCATTCTGTCACCCAGGCTGGAGTACAGTGGCACACTCACAGCCACCACAGCCTTGACTCGCTTCCTAGTAACTGGAACTACAGACATGCTACCATGCCCAGCTAATTTTTTTTTTTTTTATTGTAGAGATGAGATCTCGCCAAGTTGCCCAGGCTCAGGCAATCCTCTCGCCTTGACCTCCCAGAGTGCTGGGATTACAAATTTGAACCACTGCGCCTGACCACATTTCCTGTTTTCATAGTGTCATGCTAAACTTGCTGAGGGGAGTAAGGAAGGATCAATTCCATGTCTCCCTCACCTTTAGGAATCGCTCATATTTTTCTTCTTAGGCAGAATTATGCTCTCAGCTACTGGCTCCTTAACATTTTGTGTATACTTCTAACACATACATTGTGTTTTAATCTTCTCCTCACCTGTCTCTGTAAGACCACACTCTTGACTTTTTTTTCCATATATTCTCAGCTCAATAGCTTTCTGGCACAGGGTTTTGTAGGTATTCAATACATTTCTGTAGGAGAGAGATGGAACCATCCTTGAATAACTTTAACGTAAAGTCCAGAGTGTTAAATTTTAAGAAGGCCATGAAAATGTGCCAGTGGCATAAAAAGAATTGTTTGAGAAAGAGGGGAAGACATATGGGGGAGAAATTAAACAAAATGTTATGTAAGCTGGATTTAAAGATGTGTAGGAATTCTGTCGGTAGAGAGAATGGCTTTAAAGTTTAGAGCCTGAAGATTAGTAAGGAAGTAAGATTGTCTCCTGTGAGGTTTGAGTGAGTTGATTAGGAACAAATTTTGAATGTTTGTGAATGTTGATCTGAGTTTCCACTTTTTCCTATAGACAGTGGGAAAGCTTTGAAGATATTTGAGCATGGAAAGATATGAAATAGGTGTGTTAGTGGAATGATAATTAGCATACAGTGAATCACAGCAAACTGAATCTAAAGGCAAAACAGCCTGAGCAAGAGCTAATAAAAGCCTGAATGGGTATTAGAGAGATGGGAAAATGAGAGTCCAATTCTGAGAGATACTGTGAAATGTGATGAATGGTTATAAATGTACAAGGTCTCCAAGGAAAATGCATTTTGTTAAGTGAAAGAAGCAAAACCCAAAAGGTTACATGTTGTATTGTTCCATTTATATGACATTCTGGAAAAGGAAAAACAGGTCAGTGGCAGCCAGGGAAGCTGGGAGAGGGTGATTACAAAAGGGCTGCACAGGGCACTTTTTGGAGTAATGGAACTTTTCTATAAGATACTGTGGTAGGCCGGGCTCAGTGGCTCAGCCTGTAATCCCGTGCTTTGTGAGTGAATTGCCTGAGCCCGCAGGTTCGAGACCCGCCTGGGCAACTCGGCAAGACCTCATCTCTACAGTAAATCAAAAAAATTAGCCAGGCATGGTAGCGCGCGCCTGTAGTTCCAGCTACTTGGAAGGCTGAAGCGGGAAGGATCACCAGAGCCCAGCAGGTCAAGGCTGCAGTGACCGGGAGCGGCCACTGCACTCCAGTCTGAGCAACAGAATGAAACTCCAACTCAAAAAAAAAGATACTGTGGTAATGGGCACCTGACTACATGCAGATTTAACAACTCAACCAGCATTTCTGAGGCTGAAATGCAGACTGTTCAAATGAACCAAACTGTATTATACACATAGAACTTAACTGAAGTAGTTGAAGAGAAAAGGAACTAACCTAAGTAATTTTGGAAAACAGTATTTTGAATGGAGTGAGGCTTTAGACAAGTAAGAACTGTGCATAAACACTGTGCTGTAATTGGTTAATTTGTTTCTCATGGGGAGACAGATTATCAGTTCTGAAACTACTTTATAGTAGAGTTGAACAAATATCAAAGAAATTGTAGATCATGGAAAGAAAGTTTCTCACTGTCAGAGGCAGAAATTACAAATGAGCAAGAGGGACAACTAGAACAAAACCTGTGGTGCCTGGTTAGAGTTGGAGACTTCTGTATGAACATAATGTCATTTTGTCATTTTAATAGATATAGAAATAAATACAAGCATGCACATATGCATAGGTTACTATACATACATGTATTAGCTATGTCTGCTGAAAGGACATAGAGGCAGGGGCACCTCAGTGACAACAAGCACTCCTAGCACTCAGATCCTTGGTTTTCAAATACAATTCTCAGTAAAAGAACCGGAGTTCCTTGGAGAAGTAACTGGTTTCAGGGCTAGGGCAAGGAAAATACAAGATGAACCCAGAGCAAGTGCCAGGAAATTTTTTAAAAATTAAATTAAATAAATAAAAGAAGGCCCTATGTCAAAATGACACAGAAGCAACCTGGAAAACTTTCACTAGCCAAAACTAGAGTTATTTCAAGCAACAAAATCGCACTGGTGTTGTGTTATAACCCAAAGAATAAAGTAAATATCTGAGATCATACTGATTCAGATAAATAAATAGGTGGAAAAGATGGGACAGAAAAATACAAAATAACAAAGGTAAAAGTAACAAGGGAAATAGAAACCATTCAAACACACCACAAGAATTGCTGCAGGCAAGATCTACTGAAGAATGCAAAAATATGCAGGTAAAACTTTAAGAAGACACAAGATATTTGCAGAGTCTCAAAATATCTTGCCTAAAATGTTTATTAATTGTTGTGGTAGTTTAATATATTCCTGAACTCCAGTATTAAGGGCTTACACCTCTGGTATTATTTCAAAACATTCAAAACCCCAATCTAATCATGAGAAAATGTCAGGCCAACCCCAAATGAGGGCATATTCTACACAATACATAGGAGGCATGATGGGTATATCCTGGAACAGAAAGAGGACGTTAGTGGAAAAACTAGTAAAATCCAAATAAACCCTGTAGCTTAGTTGTACTATTATATACTATTATGATGTATATATTATATACTATTATAATGTATGTCAACATTAGGTGAGGTTAGGCAAAGGATATACGGGAACTCTATAACTTTTCAACTCTACTTTAAAACTAAAAGTATTTTAAAATAAAAAATATAAAAGAAAACATGTAAATGAATGGATGTTTTAAAAACTAAATGCTCAGAAGAGTTAAAAGATGAAGGTATGGTTATTATGGCTATAGTGGACAAAGTAACCCTACAATACTGAATGCCCTTAGGAGTAGTTCAGGGGCTAGAATCATTAGTAAAGTCTAGGTTAGAACAGCATTTTCCCTGCTATTCCCTTGAGATGTTCCTGGAAAAAGTGGTTCAACTAGGATTGATAAATCCAGTATAAAAGCCTTTCCTTACAGGCTGATCATTGTCATTTAATTTACTGTTTCCCCAAATACATTTTATCTCAGAACGCTTATTTTCTCTTATGCCTTGTGAAAATCCTGATAAGTTAGTTCTTGAATGGAAAATTCTAATCTAGAGGTAATCTGACATCTACTTTTTAGGGTGAACTTTAGAAATGAATTGATCATACAACTTTGGAAGGTGGATAAGGTGGAGCTCAGTGACTTTTCCTCTTAAGCTATCCTGCTTCTTCCAGGGTGCTTGGATAGGTGAGGGGTTATCTCTTGTATGTCCTGTGCACATTGGCATCTCAGTACTCTAGAAGTGGCCTGTCAGGCACATTCCTTAAATGAAATATTAAATATTTAAACATAATCTTATTTTGGAGTTCACTGCAAATTATTTGACTGCCTCTAAAATAATCACAAATTAAACATTTTATAATACTCTTTGTTTTAGCTAGATTGGGTCTTGTAGTGATCTTTCAGATAATCCATTAAATTTGAATTTGTGGAAAGTGCAATCTATTGTTTGTTCCTGGCTTTTTTGGATAGAGACTAACAAATCAAATGGTGATATTGTCAGTTACTCTTACCAAATCTTCCCAGGTAACAAAATGCAAACACTGATGTTTACTCCTAATGTCAATAATGGTCTATTTTTAACCAGTACTATTGCTGAAGTATTGCACATGCTAGCCGAGGTTGTGCATGTCTTAGTCTTTGTATTGATAGCGTGTTTGTTTTCAGTTTTAAAATCTTCAAGGCAGGAATTTTGTAATTGCTCAACCTGTGCGGTTGCCCATGCGATACCCAGGTGATTTATACTACATCTTTGAACTCAAGGCCTAGATATAGTGATGACTACTTAATGACTTGTTTGATGAGGAGCAATTCAGTGATTCCTTTGGTTTGGGTTTTTGTTTTCCAGAGTTGCTGTGATGGAAGTCAAAGGGAAAAAACAATTCACAGGGAAGAGTACAAAGGCATCCCAAGAAAAAAACAGATTTCGTAAAAGCAATGGTAAGTTAGCCATAACGAATGGTGCTTCTTGTGTGGTTGTTTGGCCATTATAGTGGAGGGGGGCAGTGAAGGCTGGAGGGCATGTAGCAGATTTCAGTCTGTATTCATGGGCTAAAATAGGACTAAAACAGTAGGAAGAAGTAGGTGTTATTGTGTATGAGTTAGCATGTTCCTTATGACATTTAGACATTTTAAAAATTGCCAGAGCAATTAAAAAATGCTTTACTCATGAACAATCCCTTGTCCCAGCCATTGCTGCTCTTGCCTCATTTTATTTATACTAATCCACCGTATATTTTTATTTTAATGTTTAATAAATCAGGGCTGGTTAATACATACAACTGATAAACTGAATATTCTTAGGCTCAGGGGTTACATTGGTGATGTCTTCATTATTCCATGAGGTGTCAGTATTGCAAAATAGAAAAGCCAGGGACTACACAAATGACTGAATGTCTCCTTAAGGTATAGCCAGTGCTGTTTTCATCTCATTTGTTAGATATGTTAGATATCGGATTTGCAAGCTTTGTTGACCAAAGAAGGTTTTTATCAAATAATTGTATTTCAGGCTTTAAAAATGTGTTTTCTTAAAACTAGCAATTTTGAAGTTTGACATTTTAAATTTGTATGAACTTCCTAAAGTTCAAAAATGTTCATTTTGAGCTGGGCGCAGTGGCTCACACCTGTAATCCCAGCACTTTGGGAGGCTGAGACAAGAGGATTGCCTGAGCCCAGGGGTTTGAGACCAGTCTGAGCAACATGGCGAGACCTTATCTCTATGATAAAGTTAAAAAAAAAAAAAAAAAAATTAGCTGGGTGTAGTGGCGTGCACCTGTAGTTCCAGCTACTTGGAAGGCTGAAGTGGAAAGATCTTCTGAGCCCAGCAGGTTGAGGCTTCAGTGGCCATGAGCACGCCACTCCCCTTCAGTCTAGGTGACAGAGTGAGACTCCAATTCAAAAAAAAAAAAATGTTTATTTTGTTCTTAGACATTTTATTCTTAGACTTCTGTGATGGTATTGAACATTGAAAATTTTGTGTTAAAACTAATGATGTGAAATCATTTAAAGCAGAATACAAAGGTATATAAATAATATCTCATTTCTACCATATGCTTAAAACTAGAGAAATATGCCAAACTGACAATATTGGTTATCACTAGTGGTAGAATCATGGATAGTGTTTATTATACATTTCTCTACTTTCTAGACTTTGTATCATTAACCTGTATTATAGTTTTATAATCAAGAAATAGTTTTTTTAATTTAGTGTTGATTGTGTAAATCCTCCTCCATTTAAAAGGCTATGTTAGCCAGGCACAGTGGCCCATGCTTGTCATCCCATCTGCTCAAGAGGCAGAGGTGAGAGGATCACGGGAGGCCAGGGGTTTGAGGCTGCAGTGAGTTTGATTGTGTCTGTGAATAGCCATAGCACTCCAGCCTGGGCAACATACGGAGACCTAGGTTTTTTGTTTGCTTGTTTTTTCTTTTGAAAAAAAAGGTATGCGCCTATAGTCCCAGCTACTTGGGAAACTGGGATGGAGGATCACTTGAGCTCAGGCATTCAAGGCTATAGTAAACTATGATTATACTACCTCAGGGAGATTCTATCTCTTAAAAAAAGGCGGGGTGCTAAATGTTGCATATTTGAGAGTGAGGCAATGTATGTCTCACTAAAGAATGTAATTTTCTGTAGCAAACACAATCCAGTGGATAAAAGAGGTTTAGGTCCAGAATCATTGAACGTATAATTATTTCTTATTGTCACTAGATTCTGGTTCTTCAAAGACAGTTCCAAAAAAAGTTGCTAAGGAAGGTGGATCTAAAGTCACATCTAAGAACTTTGAGAAAAGTGTCACAAAACCTGGGAAAAAAGGTGTGAAGCAGTTCAGGAATAAGCAACAAGGGGACAAAGCACCGAAGAACAAATTCCAGCAGGCAAATAAATTCAACAAGAAGAGAAAATTCCAGACAGATGGTAAAAGTGATGGTAAGTACTGATTCTCTCCATAGTGTTAGCAGAGGCTTTGCCCTGCCTGAGCTGTACCAACCATTATGCACAGGGATTCGGGTGGTATGTCAGCAACCTCTCATTCTTGTTCCTTGGCAGGCCACATTTTGGGGCAAAAGGGAAAGGTATGTGGGCTTAAACAAAAACAAAACATCTTTTCTAGTCAAAATTTTCTTCTGGTGCTTAAAGTTCCCTATTTCTCAGATCCTTTCTGAATTACTTTAGCCATGGAGTTAAGCTAAATTTTAATGGCTTCCACAAAATATTTCTTTCTGTAGGCTAAAATTAATTTATTGATTCATTCATTCATTCAACCAGATATTTAATGCATTGTGCCAGGACATAGGGGGAAAAAAATCAACACTCAATAAGGATATATGCCCCAACCAATCATTGAATCTGGCCTTAAGAACCAATCTGTCCCAGCTAAGTGTCAGTCTAGGTTAAGGATGCTTTGGTGAAGAAGAGACTTATAGACGCTGCCCTAAGAGAGCTTAGGCTATTCTAATATAATAACCCATCAGATGGCTCAGATATAGTCACAGTTCCAGAGAAAGTATACACATGACAGATTTGATTGTAATTGATTCAGGGCAAGTTGTTCACTGATTGGAAATGTTGACAGGGCTCCTATTTGTCTATTGACGCAAACTGCTAATCTTTCATCATTATATTTAGTGGATCCTTTCTAACTCAAGTCTCTGTTTTCTGATGTGTAACATGCCCTGTTGTGCATTACCCTGTACTAGTCTCAAACAAGCAGTTTCCAGGCTATATGTACTATTGTGTGTTTATCGTGAGAATTTCTCCAGGGACTTTCATTCTCTTTCTTCAACTCAGCATACGCTAACACTACTCCTTTGTGGCCAACTGAGACCACTGCCGTTGGGCCTTCTCAGTGTTGCTCCCTAGTCCTAGTACTTACTCTATTCTTTGCCTAAAGGCTGCTCACTAGAAGGACAACAGCCTTAAGACAGAGAGTTGAAGAGAGAGAGAAAAAAAGGGAAAATTTCATTGTTTCTCATGAGGCCTACAGGATCCTTTCATGCTCTGGGTTTGAATCCTGACTCTACTACTGCTATTGTGTGGCCTTGGACAGCAGTTAAGCAAAAACTTAACTTGGTGCATCTGTTTCCACAGCATGGAAAAGGTGATAATATTAGTACCTACCTCCTAGGGTTGTTTTAAGAATTAAATGACTTAATACACAGCAGCACTCAGAACAGTAACTTTTTGAAATTGTTTTTTCTGTTTTACTTTGGACTAATTTTGTTTCCATTGAAAATTGATTATGCCAAAGTTCAATTATCTTAATCCTCTAATGTAGAATTTCATTTTACAATTTAAAAACTTAAAAATTTTTAGTTGCTTTAATAATTCTTTTAATCTTTTCTTTTAATAGGTATGCTATTAAAAATCAACACAGAGCTGTTGAATGAATGATTGATTTTAACCAAATTTAAAATGTACAAACTGCTTAGAAAGTAAAATAAAATATATGTTTATAGGGAATTATATTTTCTCCTTTCTAGCTTCCACAATGAGTATTGATCCTGACTAGTGATCACCCTTTGTTCCTAATTTGTGTGTGTTTACGGTACTCAGAATGTTAAATGTAACCAAAAGTAATTTCTGTAATCAGAATCAACAGCCAAGAGACCTAAATGGGATGACTTCAAAAAGAAAAAGAAAGAACTGAAGCAAAGCAGACAACTCAGTGATAAAACCAACTATGACATTGTTGTTCGGGCGAAGCAGGTTTGGGAGATTTTAAGAAGGTAATGGTCCTGACTGATGTTTGTTAGTCCCTTTGAGACAGTGGAGAAGGAATAATATACTTTGTACATAGTGAGATGTCCTAAAGTAAATGACGACATAGCATTTGGATTATTGAGGGAGTACTCCTACCTAACACGCCAGTAGACGCATCGGTTCTTGGATGTGTGCCCACTGCAGAAGTTTGTAGGATCATTAGGATGGCATCAGATATGCCTATGGAAATGTATGAGGTTAAAACAGATTTGACATTCTTCCTGAGAAAAGGCTGAGAAAATGAAGGACAATTTCTTATCAGCTAGGTTTTGAAATACTTAAGTATTTGATGTCTTGGATTTGTTTTATTATTATTTTTTTTACTTCTGAAGTTCTAGCTGTTAAGATTTGGATTGATTCATAAAATTACACCTTGTGAGATGAGTTACTGCCTTTGAGAAAATTACTTTTGTCTGGCTGCTCTGGAATAGTAATTTTAATGTCAGGTTTGCTGCCTTGGAAAGGAAAATCATACTGAACTTAGTGAAAATATGCTGGTATGGTTTTTTTAGTTTCGTGTGTTTTATTTTACAAGTTATTTTACTTCTTTACTTAAACTGTGTTTCCGTTCTCTTCTCATGTGCAGAAAAGACTGTGACAAAGAGAAAAGAGTAAAGTTAATGAATGACTTGCAGAAGTTGATTCAAGGGAAAATTAAAACTGTAAGTAGGGCATACGCATCATTGCAACTGTAAACATTTGAAATTATCTCACTCTCAGGGAAGGGTAGTTGACCATTTGTGGCAGGTGAATGTGTCTTTGTTCCGAGTGTGTTTGGCCAAAAATTTCAAATATCTTTTATAATACTGACTAAATAAAAATTTAATAATGAGCAACTCATTTCTGGGGAGTTGTGAAAAAAGACTACCAGTTAACTGTGTCATTTTTTTAGTAATTTACTTCAAATAAATCAGTATTCTCTGAATGTTATCTTGAGAAATTTATTAGTTTAATAGTATTTGTTTAAATGTCTTGCTCTAAACAGCGTATAATTTAGTGTGTTCTCAGTTGCTGACTTTTTGGTATTTGTGATGCAAACATTACTTTTCTTTTCCTCCTTGTTTTTGTAAACATCATGCAAAGATCTTTAACTAAAATATAGTGGATTTAAGAATATTAGCTTCAGTTGTTGCTGCTTAAGCCTGTTTTGTAATAAATTTCCAGTGACCCTTCCATATTTGAGTAAATACATAGTGGCTATTCCTTGTAAGACAATAGATTCCCACAGATCTACAGTCCCTGGAGGGGGCAGCCTTTGCCAAACCAGATGCATAGGTCTCATCAGATGCTGTATTACAGTTTGAAGGAGTGTCTTGAAATAGCAAGTCCTCTCAACTGCTTCTTATAAATTTAGCAAGATCTTTTTATGATAGAACTGCCCACCAGCTCTAGCAGTGGTCTTTAGTGTATAAATTTTTATCTTATCTTTAGTGTATAAATTTTTCATAGATTTTTTTTTTTTTCTTGACTGCCCTTAGGTTACTGCTGCATGACCATGGGCTTGGGAGTTCACATCCTGTTTCTGCTGTTTAAATTATTTGTGCTTTTGGACAATAACAGTAACTTATTTATCACTTATTTATTTTATGCTAGGAATTGTCTTAACTAGGGCATATGTTTCTTATTTATCTTATGTCATCTTCCCTACTGCATATTTTTGATCTAGGGCACAGAGAAGTTAAGTTTCTTCCTCAGGGTCACAAAGTTGCAAGTTCCTTCTCATAACCTTATCTCCTCTGTAAAATGGGAATATAACACATTCTTACAGCTGCTTTGAGATGTAAATGAGAAAAATACATTTAAAGCATGTGTATTGGTTATATAGTAGGCGCTCAATATATGTACAAAAACAGCCTTATTTTTTTAAAAGATTTATCAAAGTTGTCTTAAAATCTCCCTTAAAAAAATTCTTCAGAAATCCATAACTTTGATAAAGGTGTGTCCCCACCTTCTGATTTGTTGGAATTAAAAAATTTTAAAGACAAGAGTGAGCAACAAATAAGTACTTTTGAAGTAGACTGGTATTGTTGCATAATAAAAATAATGCTGCATTACTGATGGTTTGTGGATATTGCTCTAAAAAATTAATTAATTGGTCCTTCCAGTAGTTGTGAGGGGGAATGGGTTGGAAAATCAGATTTGAAATACAACAACTCTTCTAGAATACAACTGAATATATGTGCAGGGATTATAATGAAATGTGAGAAATGGGTGATCAACTTATAATTGCCAATGTGTATGGATATAGTTATATTTATTTGTGTAGTAAAACTTTTAGATTGATTATCTATTTCTTTTTTTGCCAAAGCCAGACATTCTTAGATCACCTATGTAAAAAAAATTAAGGAGTAATGTACTTTTTAAATTGACATGTTTACCTTTTTAGGGAAGGTAACCTTCAAAGAAGTGAGTATAATCTGTATAATTATTAGGTGGTTTTGTTTGGTTGTAATTATAATAGGAATCTTGCAAAAATGATTCAATCTATTCCTGTCTCAATGTCATTATTGATTATAGCTAGCAAATATGATAGGCAGCAAAACCAAAGAATGATATTCTGTCCAATTAAAACAAGTATTTCTGCTCCCACATCATCTAGGTTTGATTTTATCCATGAAGACTCTACTTTGTTTCTAACAGGGAATTCTAAGAGAGGCCACAGTGAAACAAAAGTAATGAACATAACTCTTAGAAGAGAATTAGTCTAAAGTCTCAAACTTTTTCCTACAGATTGCGTTTGCACATGATTCTACTCGTGTGATCCAGTGTTACATTCAGTATGGAAATGAAGAACAGAGAAAACAGGCTTTTGAAGAATTGCGAGGTATTTGTTACATATTGAAGATTAACTATCATTTTAATAAGTCACTTATTTTCTCTTGAAATACCCAAGATCGTCCTAGAAGATAATTCTTGTCGAGGTGTGTCTTCTGCAAGACCTTTTATGTTTCTATCTGTTGCCTGGGACAAATGGAGAATTCTTTGTTTCCAGGATTGTGCATGTATTTAGTTCTTTCCTTTGTTCCTATAAAATTGAAATGAGGGTATCAAGTCATTATATAATGTATTTTATTTTTTAGGTGATTTGGTTGAGTTAAGTAAAGCCAAATATTCCAGAAATATTGTTAAGAAATTTCTCATGTATGGGTAAGTTGCTTTATTTATAAAATTCATTTTTTCCCCTTTTAAATTTTGAAGACAGATTCCAGCTGTGCTCAGCAGTTAAAAAATCTATGGTCATAGTAATAGCCCTTGTCAGATGTTTGTGATGTTTCTAGGAAGTATCATCTTTAAAACAATTATTGAAATCAGTAAATGCCCTTCACCATTCTTAAGGGCATATTTTTCTATTTTGAAGCTCTGAAGAAGAGAAATAGAATAATTGTAACAAGTTACCAGTGTTTAGAGAGTGGAAGATTGGGAGGGGCAGGTAAGTAGACTGAGGTAGGGTTCGTGGGTTAGAAAATGTCAAAATGAGAGAATTTCTTAAATTAGGTTGAACTGGTACTTGTCTTAACTAATTTTATTTCTTTTTTATTTCTTTTTTTTGAGTTGGGATCTCACTTTGTTTCTCAGGCTAGAGTGCAGTTGCCTGATTATAGCTCACGGAAGCCTCAATCTCCTGGGCTGGAATATACTTTTTAAACTGACATATTTCCCTTTTAGGGAAGGTAACTTTCAAAGAAGTGTATGTTCTGAGTAGCTGAGCTTGCAGGAGTGCCACCATGCCCGGCTAATTTTTTAAACATTTATTCTAGAGACAAGATCTTGCTATGTTGCCCAGGACAGTCTTGAGCTCCTGGGCACCAGCCATCCTCCCACTTTGGCCCAAAGTGCTGGGACTAAGGCATGAGCCACCATTTTCAGTCACCAGTCTTCTTTTAACATAAAAATTGTGAAATTGACCAGTCATTTTGATTATGGAATAACGTGCCAGAATATGATAACCAGTAACAAAAAAGCATAATGTGCAGTTGACAGAATTTCCCAAAACAACATATTCCTGGCTATAATTATCAGCTACTTGATTATATTTTACGGTACAGTAAAATAGTTGTGAAAGTAGTTGAGATTAAGTCCTGTCTTTAAAAAGATTCTTAGAATATGATTTCCTGTTTCCTTGCATCTTTGACTTTTACCTTCTCTTTTCTACTGTGCTACCTTTTTCCATGCTAACAGTTTAATAGGAACTGACATTTATTGGGCACTTACTGTGTGTTGATCACAGTTCTCGGAGCATTTTAGTTCATTTAGTCCTCACAGCAACCTTATTTCTGTTTTATGAATGAAGAGGCTGAAGCACAGAGATTAAATAATTTGCTCAGGGTCTTCCAGCTGATAAGCAGAGCCAAGTTCAACCTAGACAGGTTGGCTACTGCTGTCACTTAAAATTTGGAGTAGAAATGCAAGGCAGTTTGGTTTTTCTACTCACAAGCATTTCCCTGTGGGAGGCGTATATGCACATATGTTAATGAGTTGATCTCAGAAGTCAATCTTGTTTAGTGTCACCTACCTTTCTCTTTCCATCATTTAATTCTCCATGATTGTTCTGGGTTTAGAAGTAAACCACAGATTGCTGAGATAATCAGAAGTTTTAAAGGCCACGTGAAGAAGATGCTGCGGCATTCGGAAGCCTCTGCCATTGTGGAATATGCATATAATGACAAAGCCATTTTGGAGCAGAGGAACATGCTGACAGAAGAGCTCTACGGAAACACATTTCATCTTTTCAAGGTGATGTTTCCAGAAAAATTTTTGTAGTATTTTTACTTTTTCTACATGCTTTTTCTTAATTTCCAGTGCCTTGTTTTCCAATATTTTACAATCTAAGTATTTTTATTTTGGGTGGTCCTTTAAGGGTTCATCTTATACCTTTTATTCTCAGGTTATTATATCTCTACTGTAGTGAACAAGTGATATACTTCTCTTTCTCCTAGGGCATTGGCTTTAAATCCCCTTCAAGTCAGGCGACTTTTGTTCCTCCCTTCTGAGTACGCTGTGTGTCATGCTATTCTATTTCTACAGTCTACCTGACTGAGGTAGAAGACTTCTAACAGTTACTGAAGTTTTATAACCACCCCCTAGCCAGCTCAAGTGCATTAGGCTCTCTGTTGCTCTCTTTTCTTGTGCTGCTTCATGTGTGTGTATTGCCCTTCTCCAGAGATGAAAGGGAGTGGAGAGACCCACCCTTGGATGGAGTACAGGGATTGAATCCTGAGATCGGCCAGTAATGGGACTAGGACAGTTACAAGATCTATTTTAAACTTGGGACATAAATGCACCCATTTATCTGAAAGGATTTCAACCGATTCCTGAGAGGCCTCCATAAGTCAGGCTCAGTTCCTTGGTTGAACTTGTTGCTCTACTTCTTTTTTTAACAGTTCACTATAGAAATATCCAACTAGCCAGGCTCGGTGTCTCAGCCTGTAATCCCGTGCTTTGGGAGGCTGAGGTGAGTGGATTGCCTGAGCCCGCAGGTTCGAGACCCGCTTGGGCAACTTGGCGAGACCTCATCTCTACAATAAATAAAAAAATTAGCCAGGCATGGTAGCGTGCGCCTGTAGTTCCAGCTACTTGGAAGGCTGAGGCAGAAGGATCGCCGGAGCCCAGCAGGTCGAGGCTGCGGTGGCCGGGAGTGTGCCGCTGCACTCCAGTCTGGGCGACGGAGTGAGACTCCAACTCAAAAAAAAAAAAGAAATATCCAACTAATTACAGGATACATGGTGGCAAGAATTTTGAACTATTCGATCTTATGATTGTATGAGCTAGGTACTTGGCAAAGATCCTGTTGACTGGTTGACTTGGTTGGCATACAGCCTGGCTCTTTAGATACAATAGTAAATGTACAGACTGAGAATCAGAGAATTGGGAATTACTTTGTAAATGTATTTGTAGTAGGGCTTTCATTATATAAATATGGAAAATCTTGGATTTGTTTAAGCTTATTTAAAATGACTATAATTGCTTTTCTCTGTTCTGAAGAAATTGAATTAAATTTATAGGGGTTTGATCTTTCTTTTGTTGCAGTCAGCAGATCACCCAACTCTGGACAAAGTATTAGAGGTACAGCCAGAAAAATTAGAGCTTATTATGGATGAAATGAAACAGATTTTAACTCCAATGGCCCAAAAGTAAGAGAGATGTTTTTGTTTTTTCTTAACAAATGGCATTTGAAGGAGGAAAGGTTTACATGTCTTTTGCCCAGAAAATATGGATATTTCCTGCTTATAGTTTACTCTGTCCTAAATAAGAGTATAAAAATTTTGGTTTGAAACCATTCTTGCTACAGAAGATTTCTTTTTTAAATATTATATCCTATAAGATGATAAGATACAGTAATGGTTTATACACTATTTTAAGCAATGAAACATTCTTTCCCCAAATAAGATGTTATGTGGAAGCCATGTATACTAAATAGTTTCACAAATATAATCTGTTACTCATATAGGATTGTAGAATTTAAAAGCCTGTGCATGTGTCCTTCTTGGCATCTATACCATAGTGGAGTGGTTGAGCATAGCTTCCAAGACTAGACTGCCAGGGTGTGACTCCTAGTTCCCCTACAATCTCCATTACTAACTGTGTAAATTTGGGGCAACTTAACTTTTGTATGCCTCAGTTTCCCTGCCTATCAAATTGGGATAATAATAGTATAGACTTTGTAGGTTTTTATGAAGATTAAATGGGTTGATATTTTCAAAGTACTCAGAACAGTGCTTTGCCCATAAAGGCAGCATTTGTTTTTGCTATCTGCTTGGATATTCTTTGTGGACTTTAGGTCTTTGATGTCTGGCCATCAGCCTCCACTGTACACCTTGACTCACCAAGTGTCATTCTAAGGGGCTTGGATTAAATAAGTGTTGGAATTGTTGACACTGTTTTGATCCACCAAGTTTTAATTTTACTAAAATTATTTTATGAAATGGATGCCTTGTGAAGGCCGCCTGACAGAAAGAAAACAGCTATTAAAAAAAAAAGGCCCACAGGTGGATTTCTAATTATGTTTAGTGCTGGGAAAAAAATATAGATGTCCTTGTTTAAGAAGGTGGAGCATGTACTGAATGATTATTTCATGTTTGCTGATTAGATACTAGCAATTTGTACTTGGTTGTAGACGGCACTAAATTTTGCAATCTAAATATTTTTTAAAGTCTTAAGATTTGTAAGATTACCTATCTCTGTTTGACTTAGTATCAGATCTGATGTGTTTTTTTGTGTTTTTTTGTTTTCTGTCTTTCAGGGAAGCTGTGATTAAGCACTCATTGGTGCATAAAGTATTCTTGGACTTTTTTACTTATGCACCCCTCAAACTCAGATCAGTAAGTTCTTGGTCTTTTGTTTTTAAACCAAAACATGGTGGAGGAGCAGAACAGAAATTTGAAATATTTCTTTGATGTACGTTGTCTCTTGGAAATTTTATAGAGTTCCTTATTTAGAAAAGACAGTCCACTAAACTTTCTTTGAACAAGTCTGCTGATTTCATTTAGATTTTTTCCAGAAAACAGTAGAATTGACCTCAGTTGTACTAATTTCATTGAATTTTTATATTTTAATTATAATCCAGAGTATCCTCTAGCTAATCCAATCTGCAGATTAACTAATACATGGAGGAATATTCATCATTGGGTAGTTTTAAATTCAACTGTGCCAATACAAAAAAAAATTATGTTGTCTTTAAAAGGTTAGGGCAGGATACTTATGTAAAGCTAAATGGACCATGAAAACCTGTGCTTTATATGATAGAAGAAAGAACAGAGAGTGAAGGTAAATTGCACTGCCCGTCAAATCAGTGATGGGAATACAAATGAGAATACATTGCTTAGTTCCCTGAACTTTGCTTGCCTCATCATACAGTGAGCTCATTGTCCATTTGTCCTCATTTTCTAATCACAAGGGAAAACTAAAATAATGAGACTAATTTCTTTTAACAAATACACCAGATTATACATTCATTGAAGTTTCGACCCTTACAAAATTGGCATACAAAATTATTTCCCAAGAGTAGCCACCCACCTATGCTTACAGTTCAGTGACCATAGCAGCATCGTCTTGGGTATTTCTCTTTCCTGCAGAACACAGTATCCCACAGTTCTGGATTTACTGAAGCAGGACTGTATGTTCAGAACTGACACAGTGATCGTTTGAATATGTTCAATGCTAGAGTGTATCTTTAGTGTTGAATGTTTTAATAACAGCAAAAAAATCATTTGGAACTTAGTATGAATGTAAAGTAATGAGACAAATTATCTTTTCTGGCACTGTGGGTATTTTCAAAAGAGAGACTTTAAAAAAACCTTTGGGAATAATGGAAACATAATTGGAATATTTGTATAACTCTCCATCTGGATAGCTTTGAAGAGATTCAAAGTTCAGGTATGTTAGTTGGAAGCTGTGTTTTTAAGATTCATCTTGGAAAGGGATTGTAAGATACTTGAGGGTGAAATCACTTCTTCCTTTTTGGTGAAATTAGGCTCCTGTCCTTCAGTTGGCTTTGTATTTATTTAATATAAATTTTTTAAATTGGGAATAGACTAAAATGGGATCCTACCATTGTTAGGTGCCAGAACTCATTTACATCCTGTGTACTTACACTTTGAAAATATAAGTATTAGCCAGGTGTGGTGGTATGCGCTTATAGTTCCGGCTACTTGGAAAACTGAGGTGGAAGGATCGCCTGAGCCCAGCAGGTCGAGGCTGCAGTGGCCATGAACATGCCGCTGCACTCTAGCCTGGGTGATGGAGTGAGATTCTGATTCAAAAGAAAAGAGACTATAAATAAGAAATTGAAACATTGGGGAAAAAAGATGAATAAATTAAACTAAACTGCCTTGTAAGAAATTAAATGATTTTTTTTTACTACAGAGTCATTTATAGGTAAGGGCTTATTCTAAATATGAATACAGAAATTAATTTGTTATAGGGAAATGTTATTTAATTGTGTTTGTGGTAAGGAATTAATATAATTTCTGGAGATAATCCAATGATAAACCAAAAAAGAAACTTTTTTAATCAAAATGATTATTTTGGTTGTGTCTTTTAGGGAAGCGCATTTTATTTACTTTATCTAGCTGTTCTGTTTAAAATTTTCTTCTTATCACACCCCCTCTAGACTTTCTTGGAAAGTCATTTAGAATATATTATACATATTATGTATATAGTAGCCTGTGAGTTTTTTTAACTAGACATCAGTGAAAGTCGGGTATTGTGATTAACAGAAATTGCCTGCCAGCAGTATTTACTGCTCTTGATGGAAAAGAACATTTCTAGAAAGAGTTTGTGTGTCTGTCTGAAATTGTATGCAAAGTTAAAAATTAAATTGTATTCTACTTGCGCTCTCTTCCTTTCCCACTCTGTGCATAACCGCCCCCTGTAGACAGATAAAACCACAGAAAGAAAGAAAATAAAGCAGAGCCCTGATAGCATTTGTTTCCTAGGAAATGATTGAAGCCATCCGTGAAGCTGTGATATACCTGGCACATACACACGATGGTTCCAGAGTGGCTATGCACTGTCTGTGGCACGGCACACCCAAGGTAAATGTGACAGCACTTGTGAGTAAACTCTGCCATTCAGAGCTGTGCCTTATCTGCAGGCTTGACTTGCCTGTCCTTAAACTTTTCACCCACTTTGGTCTTTGCCCTATTATGCATAAACAACACTATCTTCTCAAAGTTGTGCCTCAGGGCCTCACAGGAATGAGCCATCTTCTATAGGCCTCATGTTCTTTGCTTTAGTGGAAATCTGAAGGTTTCATTAGAGGATGGAAAGAGGTCAAGCATGTAAACTCATACATATTGTCTGGGTTATTGTATGTTAAGCTTTAGTTTATAGAGATTTTGGGACCTGTCAGGCTCTTTCATCCCTCATTTTATTGGAGGAGGGGAAGAAAGAAGAAATAAGGAACAAGTGGTCGCATGCTTATGCTCCTGCAGGTGTTCTGTACTCAGAGGAGAAAGGTAAAGATACGTATTAATCACTGAAGTGTAACAGAAGTAAGCATCATTTCCTTGATCAGCATAATTCTGCCTTCAAAAGATAGTTATAGCCGGACTCCGTGGCTCAGCCTGTAATCCCGTGCCTTTGGGAGGCTGAGGTGAGTGGATTGCCTGAGCCTGTGGGTTTGAGACCCACCTGGGCAGCGAGACCTCATCTCTACAATAAATAAATTTAAAAAAAAACCAGCCGGGTGTGGTAGCGCATGCCTGTAATTCCGGCTACTTGGAAGGCTGAGGTGGAAGGATCGCCGGAGCCCAGCAGGTCGAGGCTGTGGTGGCCGGGAGTGGCCACTGAACTCCAGTCTGGGTGACAGAGTGAGACTCCAACTCAAAAAAAAAAAAAAAAAAGATAGTTATACTTTCTCTCTATATATATATCTACTATTTTTAAATTTAATTTCATTCAACAAATATCTATGAATACTAACTATATGCTAGACTATGTCAGTGGATTGTCGCCTACAGGTCTAAGATTATAATAGCTCTGATAAGCTTTTTAATTATGAAATACCCTTAATTTATAACTCACAGTTTATTGAGGCAATTTTTCCTTTTTAAGGACAGAAAAGTGATTGTGAAAACAATGAAGACTTACGTTGAAAAGGTGGCTAACGTAAGTATAACACAACTACATATTTAATTATTTTTAATAGTAAAATGAATTCCTATCTATTATAGAAAATTTGGAAAATAAGGAAAAAAAATTACCAAGAAGAAAATTATTTATTTTATTGTAATCTTTTTGTATGCATATGCATGTATTTTCATATATTATTCACACAAAATGGGAATCATACCACATGTATTTTTCTTTTTTAATTTAACATTATATTGTGACAATTCTTCATTTTTATGAGATATTTTGACATTTACTCGTTTCTTTAATTAATTTGTCCAGTAATGTCAATTAAACATGAGGATTATTACCTGCTTAAGGCATATACATATTTGAGTCTCTGGGTAAATAATGCCAGATTACACTTAAGAAAGCTTGACACCACTTTTTGCCACCAAAACCTTAACAGGAATTAAAATTTATCTTTTTTTAATGGAATAAATTTGCAGTGTGGTCATGGAGAATTCAAATTGTTAAATTTTGTAGTTCTTTGAAATCTTTTGGCAATACAGTAATAGCTCTTCTAATGAAATTAATGGGCACAGAAGTTTTTTCTGGGGGATTAATTGCCTCAAAAATAGAGTTTGTATGTATTTAGATAGTAGTTTTCCATAGTATTGCTATAGAATACTATAATTAGAATATATATAGTAGTAAATATAATTTTAATTTTTGAGTTATAATTTATATATTATATTTGACAGATATCTTAACTCATCACTAAATTTCTAATTTGTAGGTCAACTAAAATTATTTAATGGTCAACTAGTTTGTCCTCTGTGAATCCCAAGGGAACTACTAGTGTCTAGTGGACACTCATTACAGAAAATGCTAATTAAAATTATTTGGGTTGATTGTATACCTGTTGTCTTCTGTAGGAGACAGAAGAGTTGATATAAAACCATTCAGAAGACAGCTAACTTTCCTGTATCAGAGTGAAATATGGGATTCTCTTATGAATTGTTTCAGAGTATGAGATTATTTTATAATTCATATTTCATCATTAAGTAAATTTTTATTCATGACATTTTAATTTGAATTCTTTAAATTAGAAATGTATAAAAATAGAATATTAATAGAAAATTCTAAAAGGTATTAATAGTAAAACATTTTAAAGTAATAAATTGTTTTAATTTTACAGTTTGGTTATGTCAGGTAATTCAACAGTTGAGATCCTAATCCCAGCATGGCACTGTGATGATAACAGAAATTAGCAATACAATATTTTCTTTAATCTGTAAAAGTTACTTCTAAAGTGAGAGATAATCTAACATAGCCTATGAGCTTGATCCATGGATTATTTAGAAGTGTTTAGTTTTCTAATATTGGGAATTTCTTGATATACTCTATACTATTTTGGTTCTTTTAAATTTATTGAGACTTGTTTTATAAGCTAACATATGGTCTGCCTTCGCATCTTGAAAAGAATGCATTGTAGAGTTGTTTGGTATGGTATTCTATCAATGTCACTTAAATCAACAGTGTTTTTACTGATTTATTTATCGTTTAGTTCTACCAGTTGCTGAAAGAAACATGTTAAAATGTCTAGCTTGTGAAACTGTCTCATTTAGATTCAGTTCTGTACCGGCATCTGTTATATTCATCCAGAGATATTTTGTACTTGGTCATGATTGTGTATGGCTTGAGAAAACTGAAACCAGTGGTTTTGTACTATGCACATTGTTCTGTATTTTGTTTCCTTCACCTAATTTATATTAGAGCTAATTTTATTTCAACATGTATACATCTATCTGCCTTATTCTTCTTAATGACTTCATAATATTTCACTGTAGGACTGTACCATTATTCATTTAACCAGTCCCTACTGTTGGATAATTTGGTAGTTTCTAGATTTTTAAAAGCACAATAGTACTCCAGTGAACATCCTCATACATAAGTCTTTTTACTTTCCTGGAAGCACGTCTTTAAGATAAATCCTTAGAACTAGCATTGCTGGATCGGGTCATACATACATTTTAAATTGTTACAGATGTTGTCAGTTGTCTCCAAAGAAGTTGAGTCACTTTACATTCTTACCACTGACATTAAAGTGTGCCTGATCTTCCCCAAACCTTTGATAAATTAGTCTATTGTCAGATTTTCACCAGTGCCTATAGGATAGGTGGAAATTGGTGTTTCATATATTTAAAGCCATTTGTACTTCTTTTTTTTAACTGACTCTTCATTTTTATCAATATTTAGTTGATTGTTGGTCTTTATATAGTAAGAAGATTAGTCCTTTCTTTGTTCTTCAGTTTGTCTTTTTGGCCTTAACAATTATCCATTTCCTCATTGTTTCTATTTGAAATTGTATTACCTGTCATAGTCATTAGACCTGGTTCTGAATGAATGTGGGCTATTATCAAAAGTCAAATTCCCATTAAAATAAAATTTTTAAAAATTATCGTCATCCAGGATACTAAAAAAAAAATGTCACTAACTCTGAAAACAGGTTTTCGTTTTCTTTTTATTTTTAACATAAAGTAGGGATTCTTTAAATGTTTGGAACAATATCACCATCGTGACAATAATTATGTTATTTTATAAGGTGACTACTGTAAAAACCACAGCGTGTATTTGTATGATCTCATGCTGCTATACTTTTTTAAAGCAATGTTTTTTATCTCATTCTCACATTAAGTATGTCATGATACTCTTCTAGGTTTTTTTTATTATTATTATTTATATTCTAGTTATGCAGAATTATTTTAAAGAAATTGGACAGTATACAAAAAAAAGTGGAAAATCGTTTGTAATCCTTTAACCCTGAGGTGACTTGCAGTGTTTTGCCTTCCAGGATTTTCAGTATGCATGTATTGTGTGTGTGTGTGTGTGTGTGTGTGTGTGTGTGTGTGTGTGTGTGTGTGTGTGTGTGTGTATAAATCTATATCTGAGTGTATATATTTTCATTTTTATGATTGGAATATTTTACATATGTATATATAAATACACATACCTATATAGAAAGATAGATTTTTTTTTCACTTAATCATATCACTTGAACTTTCTTGCTTAATTTTCAAGTAGCTATTTATTAACAGGATACCTATTCAGACAGGTTTTATGTCCTGGTTAGTCTTGGGCTATTTGATAATAAAGAATGTGTTTTCTGTTCCTTCTTTTTTTTAAATCAACCTTACCTCTAGAATATAATTAACAAGCTTCTGATAAGAGGAGAAGTTCATTTGAATAATTTTTATTCATCTTGTTTATATTATGTTGGATAAGTGGTCAGTGATGGTAACTTAGAGTAAGAGGGAAAGTCTATGCATTTTTTGTTAACCTTTATGGCTTCCAATTGCAGGGCCAATACTCTCATTTGGTTTTACTGGCGGCATTTGACTGTATTGATGATACTAAGCTTGTGAAGCAGATAATCATATCAGTAAGTAATTCTAATGGTCTTGCATTTAAATTACATTAATATACCAGTTGTGGTTATATAGGTTTGATTTACACATGCATGTGTAAAGACTTTCAACTGTGCTTTCTACGAATATTGTCTGTTACTTTTTAGTTATCTCAATTCTCATTTTGGAGGTTTGCTTTATTTTTGTATAAATGAACAGTATTGACATTCATACTGTTTTAAATATTTCAAAGTGGTTAAATTAGCACTTAACATTTTTATTTTGGATTAGGATAACATGGCTTCTTAGACTATATGCACTTCTAAAATATGAAAAATTAGCAAAGTAATATTTAGATATGATCAGAAGTTAGCTTACATAGTCATTCCTAAGTTATTCTCGAACTCATACATGAGCAGAGGATATTCATGACCTTTTAACTGTCCCTATGAAGAAAACCTCTGCACAATTACCCAGTTTATCGGTACATCTGTGCTGAGTTGAACTGATAGAGAGGAAAAACTCAAAACTTACTCATTTGTGATGCTTCTTTAGAGCTTTTGTAGAGTCAGATTAAAAGTCATTGCCAAAATTAGCATACTAGCCTCCTTTTCACATTTCAGCAATTGCTTCTAGCCCAGTATGATAACCAGAAAGTGGTAATTCTCGAATGCAGTTTATTCCTAAACTTGCCTTCAGAAAAACTGAGCTGTCCTCTTGGAAAAGCTATTCTAAAGTAAACATTGCATCCTAAACTATTTCTATTTCCTTCATCCTTCAGTGATGGCTTGTTTTACTGATTCTGTGATTCTCTTTTCTCATCCCTTCCTTTCTCTTTAATGTTTAAGCAGTGTTGGGTGTATGGTGGAGAAAGGAAAGTACAACATTGGAAGCTTTGACCAAACTTGGAAATGTTTTGAAAACCACATAAGCTGTACAGACGTAGGTTATTCATATGAAAATCACATAAACCTTCCTGTTTGATACATATAGATGGGGCCCTTAGAGAAATCTTAGTGAAATGGTACTTTCACACCCCATTGGCAGGTAGGAAACATAGGAATGATTCAGAAAGATAATATACATTTAAGGTGATAGTGCTGTGGCCTTTCTGGACCAGTAGAGCTGGGGAAAAGAGAAAAAGTTGTATCAACTAGTGGAGGAGAAGATTGTTTTCTTAGATGCTAGCTGTAGGTCCCAGTGTGTGTGAATTTCTCATGCCCTTGCTGTCATTTTCCAACTTTATCCTTGACTACTTTAAGGTTGTGGTGACTTTCTTTGAGATAGGATTGTGGGAAGAAACAAGTTGGCAAGACTTTCTTGTCACAAACTGAGTGTTTTGACATGTTTCTTGTGACTTTATTACCCTTTTGACTCCAATCAATAATGATTGTTTTTAATTCCTGTGACAGAGATGTGAGGCCATAGAATTGGCTAATGAATAAAGTTGTTTCACAAAAATGGAAACAGGCTGGGATATTGAAAGTTTGCTTTTGTTAAATATTTTCACGATGACTAAAATTTGCATAACTTCCAAATGCATTTCAAGAAAAATTAGACTTCCTTCAGAATTTGCCGGAATTGTCTTTTAGATTAATTCTTTTTCCAAAGATTTATCCTACTTAAAGTTGCTGTGGAAACAGTTTAAATTCCTTATGCTTATCAGTTTGATTCCCACACTTTTTAGCCCACATTCCTAATGACTTTTATAAGGGTAGCTTTCCCTGATTTGCTGATCTCTTGCCTCTGAAAAATACCCAACAGGTTCTGTGTATCATTAAACTATGTAGCTAGTGATAAAATTCTGGAATGCTAATTGCTCTTGCATTTTTCCCACCCATCCACTGCAAAACCTGTTGCAGTATGCAGTGCTTTGAAAAATAACCGAGAAAGCTCAGTGTTGCTAAACATTCTGTTTATAGCACCCAGGCGTTCCAAAATGTCAGGCTGAAATCACAGCCTGGTCAACTGAGCCCTTTGCCTTTCAAAATGGGCACAAACTCTTTCTCACCGCCTTTCCTTTCCAAAATAAGCATACTTAGAAAATTTGATTCAGTTTAGCTTGAAATCATTGGTATGATGCAGCTAGTTTAACTGCTATGCTCCTTGGCAGGGAAATAAGTACACTAACCAGTTGCTGTTTCAGGGTGGATAAATATTGATGCATGTTTTGAAATGTATTATCTTTAAAATACACAGAAAGGTATAAATAATACAGTGAACATCAGGTTTCCCACCACCTGACACAAAAAGTAAAACTTGGCAAATACAGCGTAAGTTTAAGTTCTTTGTGTGCCCGTTTCTGATCCGGTATACCATCCCCGCCCCATACCTGCTGTGCTAAATTGGGCATTTCTTATTCATTGTGCATTTCCTTATCCTTTTACTGTATGTAGTTACATATAATTTTATTGTGCATGTTTGCACGTTCCATGTAAATGACATCTTATGTGTATTCTTCTGCAGCTTGCTTTCTTTTTGGTCATTGTGTTTATGAGATTTATCATCAGGGATCAGCAAACCTTTTTTGTAAAGGATCAGATAGTAATTATTTTAGTCTTTGTGGGCCATATATGGTCTCTGTAACATATTCTTGTTTATCTTTATTTTTTAACAACCCTTTGAAATGTGCAAAGCATTCTTAGCTCACAGGATGTACAAAAACAAGCTACAGGCTGGATTTGACCCATGTGCCATAGTTTGCTCACTTGTCTTCTAAATCACTTAGTTTTCAGTGTCAGATTCTACTGTATATGAATATACTATAGTTTATTTTTTATTTTCCTGGTGAGGGATGTTTAGGTTGTTTACAACTTTAAAAATAATTTTTTAAATTCTTACTAATTTTTCCTATTCCAAATAATTTTGTCAACATTCTTGTATGTTTTCTTGGGCACTGGTTAAGTTTCTCTAAGGCATTTATGAAGCAAAATTTCTGGGTTGCCAGATATGCTACACGTAAGTTTAGAGTTATGTGTCCATATCACCAACCCCCGAGCCACTACAAAACCTATTGCACTATGCTTTGTGTTGCTAAGATTTCCCAAAATGTCAGGTTGAAATCATAGCTTGATGATCACTCTTCTTGTTTTCTGTTAAGACCAAGCTCTAGTCCAGTCCCCAGGTAGTGCTTTGATCGCCCAGCCAGATCTGGTCTCCCCATCTTCTCAACTACTGTAGTCTTTGCCTTGCTGCACTTTTCTTTAGCAGGTAATAATGATCTAACTCCGGGCTCACAAACCTGCAAACCTTCATTGACCAGGCAGGTAAATGAGTAACCAGGCCAGGTGTGATACAACGAGGCTTGGAAGATGGAGAGGAGAGAGCACCATTCCCTGTGCTAAGTAGTAGTCACCACTCAGCTCCAGCCTCTGGCAATGTGAGCTCCATGGTGATAGTCCTTCCAATTGTTTTAATTGAGGTAAATTACACATAACAAATTTACCATCTTAGCCATTTGTAAGTGTATTGTTAAGTAGTATTAAGTAAACTCATTGAACAGTCTCCAGGACTTTTTTTATCTTACAAAATTGAAACACTATCCCCATTTAACTGAATCTTCCAATTTTTTAGGATAACTGAAAAGGTGGATTTTAGGATAAAGTCACTCTATTTTCAGAACAAAACACTTAGGAAGCTGTCTGATGATCTAACCTTCCCTCTGCACTTATCTATTATTTAAATTTCTTACATTTATTTTTAACTTTTCATTAACTCTTTACCCTCTTTCATTATATTTTAGCTCCTATAAAGTGGTCTGCATTTCTTTTTATCCCCACGACAAACTACCATAAGAGTTGTGTACCCAAAGGCTCAGTTCTCAGTGACATGTTGATTTTTGCCTTTCTGTCTGCCTCCAAAATGCACATACTCTAACCCCGCTTCCTGTATGTACCGTTTATTTTGACCTTTACCCTTCCTCTTTGTAAGAGAGTTGGCAAAACAAGAATGCCAAGGAATCTGGCACGAGTTCAACATAAGGAGGTCAGAACTGGCCAAATATGTCTTCCAAAGGGAGGTCTTTTGTTCTTACTGAGCTTTCGTCTTCTGTTCTCATGCCTGCTTTACAGCTTAAGAAGAAATTACAGCAAATGGGCCTTGTGATTTTTCTCTAAGTTAGTTTGTTCAAGAGGTAAAACCTTTAAAATTGGACCTCCATTGTTGGTATTCTCTCTCTTTTGAGGGTGAACACTCATGACTCCATCAGCTTTAGTTAAGGATGCTGGATTAATATGAGATCATTGTTGTATAGCAGTTTTCAGTTTTGCTTCTGGTGGTAGCTCATGAGTTAAACAAGTATATCATTTCCTTTTATAGATAATGGTATTGATGTACAGAGAGGTTAAAGGATTTGCTAAAGGCTATACAACTTGAACTTAACACTCCAGAGACTAAATTTTACATGAAACCAACTACACCATAACTGCCTCTTACCAGTTTATGCTTGTTACTGGAATTGTTAGTGCTTGCAATGTGATAATCTAGAACTTTCTCCCCTACCGTTCTCTGTAACACAAGTTGAAGAGAGATGGAGTAATACTCCATAATAGAGCAGTGCTTTTATACCATTTCCTTTATTTTTTCAGAGATGTATGTATTTTGATGTTAAGGGAAAGATGGAACGAGGGTGAGTTGGAGAATAATTAAATGACATTACCTTTTTAAGAAAACATTTTTTGGTTTCATAAAATTGTTTATAAACATTATACCCTTTTAAAAGCCTTAATTAGATGTGATTTTAGATTCTAAATTCTTTAATTACTAACCAAAAGGCAATAAAGTGCAATTAATTTGGGGACTAGTCCTTGAGTAGTGTTTATGCATGGATTTTATGTGTATCTGAAAATCCCAATTTCTCATGTTATAAAGCCATTTCTGCCATGTGTGGGATTTGTCCCTAAGTGTGAAACCCGTGGAGACAGTTCAATACATTGAGGGATTCATTGCTAGCTTTATGTCTCCTTCCTTTCCTCCCTATATCAAGAAAAAAATGCTAATTAAAAATAATAGCTATTATAGTATTCACTGCGTACTCCTCAGTTGTTGCTTTTTTCCTCATAAAAACAAGTGTTTTTTTAAAGGTGTTATATTTCTGAGTCATTTTGTTAAGGACAGCAAAGTTTTTTTGTTTGTTTTTTAACTATAAAAACTGGGCCAATTTATGTATCATTCTATCCTCTTTCAGCAAATTAACAGATATATACAACCAATTAAAACATCTTTCCTCTTTTATGAGTTGGTTAAAACTTAAAACAGATACCTAAAGGTACCCAAAAGGCACACTAAAAGGGACAACAAACACTTCAGTATTAAAAGCATATATATTGGCTGGGCACAGTGGCTCATGCCTATATCCCAGCACTGTGGGAGGCCTAAGTGAGGGGATTGCTTGAGCCCACGGGTTCGAGACCAGCCCAGGCAACTTGACGAGACTTCATCCCTACAATAAATCAAAAAATTAACCAGGTGTGGTGGTTCATGTTTGTAGTTCCATCTACTTCGAAGGCTGAGGCAGAAGGATCACCTGAGCTCAGCAGGTTGAGGCTGCGGTGGCCATGAGTGTGCCACGGCACTCTAGCCTGGGCAACAGAGTGAGACTCTAACTCAAAAAAAAAAAGAAAAGAAAACACACACACACACACACACACACACACACACACTGTGTCCACTTTGGAGCATGAGATTACAAAAGAGTTCCCTCCCTATCCTGCAATAAGTCTATTTTTTGTGTGTGTCTCCCCTTTTATTATTGAAATTTTAAGTTCCTTTCCTGCATGGTTGAAATTACGTATCCATTTTGAGGTGGTTAGATATATTGAAACTATTCTCTGAAAGCTATGTGTTTTAATATGGGAATCTTTATTCTGTGACCTTAAACGTCCTCAAAAGTCCTTAGGAGTCATGGTGATATAAAGATTATTTAAAATGATAGATGTGTAGCTCTTGGCAGTGTCTGACTCCTAGTAAGCTCTTAACAAGTGTTAGCTACCATTATTAATTATCAGAACCACAATATACTTACGTGCAGGAAATGAGGGGAGCTTAGGATTTTAAGAAGAAAAACATAGTATATGGAATCTAGAGTTGCATCATCAACCATGGTCATGATACAGTGAAATGCATGATTCCATGGTTGACGACTGACTTAATTTTTAGTTTGATTCCTTGCACTTAAATCACTAATCTTTTTTTTTTTTTTTTAATGCTTTTGATTTGGGGGGTGGGTTCTCACTCTGTCACCCAGGCTGGAGTGCAGTGGCATGATCTCGGCTCAGCGCAGCCTTGACTTCCTAAATTCAGGCTATCCTTCCACCTCAGCCTCTTAAGTAGCTATGGGCACACACTGGCTATTTGTTTAATTTTTTGTAGAAATTAGGTCTCACTCTGCTGCCTGGGCTTAAAATTACTAATCTTACCATAATATTAATAACTAGGAGCTTTTTAGAAGAACAGATCTAAATATGACATCTCAGGGAGAATTCATTTTCTTAAGAGGAGATTGTATATTATCTTTGAAAGATAGGCCAGGACTGTGCAGAACTCTGCCACGGAGGCATTGTACGTCCTCTGAGACATCACCTCTTCCTTTCTGTATGCCTTGTCTGTAAACCTGGCCAGTTGGATGGAATTCTTTCTGAGGCTCCAGCCAGTTCTAAAGAATCTGTGGTGCTCAAACATGATTTGAATATATATAAGGTCTGTTACAAGAAATAGGAATGTGGGAAGGGGGGGAAACTGATTTTTCTGTTGTGTATTTTCTATTTAGGGAAATGTTTTTAAACAGTGACTTTTCTGTCTTTGAAAACATCAGCAAATTTACATAGGAGCTTAGTTAGGATGAGGATGACTTTGCTTTTGTCACTTAAATTCAAACAGCTAGGAAAGGAGGTTACTGTTTTAGGGTATGTTGATATAAAATGTCATACAGTATAATTTGTAACTGCTCAGTGGAGTCTTTCTGGATTTGGTTTCCCTTCCCCCTCTGTTTTTATTTTTCAATGCAGTGGTTAAACAGCCTTCATTTGCCATGAATAAGCAACCTAACTTTGAAAGCCTTTATCCACTTGTTCTATTTAACAGAGTTTCTTTATCTCCTTTCACATACGTCTCAGCAGAGCAGTTCTAATGGGAATGTTCTTCATCCATACTGATGCTACATTTAAGTGCAGCTGCAAATTAACTATCTACTCAGTGACCTCACCAAGCTCTGTCCCTAGTAATAGTGGCCTAAGAAATATTGGCCATAATGAATAAAGGTAATGCCTTTAAATAATGTTTTAAGTCCTTGGGCTTGGTAAGTAATGCTAGTCACAGTAGAGAATCGATTTTGTGTTCCAAATGTAAATCTCTTTTGTGCTTTAATGAGACAATTTTAGAACTAGCCCCACATTTTCCATTAAGTACGCTGGGGAAAATAGTCAAGCATGTATTTTTTTACCATTTAAATTTCAAGCACACTTTATTTTATGAATGTAGGTGTTGATTCCTTTTTTTGTTTATAATTTTGTAGGAAATTGTCAGTTCTTTGCCTAACATAGTAAATGACAAATATGGAAGGAAGGTCCTTTTGTATTTACTAAGCCCCAGAGATCCTGCGCATACGGTACGAGAAATCATCGAAGTTCTGCAGAAAGGAGATGGAAATGAACACAGGTAACAGCAAGTCAAATGTCCTGACTCCTTATTCCTCTGCCCTGATTATTTTTGTTTGTTTGTTTGTTTGTTTGCTTTTAAATCAGGGTCTCACTTTGTTGCCCAGACTGAAGGGCAGAGACCTGCTTACAGTCTTCAACTCCTGGGCCCAGGAGATCCTCCTGTGTCAGCCTCCCGAGTAGCTGGGACTACAGATGTGTGCCACCATGCCTGGCTAATTTTTTATTATTTTTTGTAGAGTCAAGGTCTCTTTATATTGCCCAGATGAGTTTTGAACTCCTGGGCTCAAGCGATCCTCCCGTCTCCACCTCCCAAAGTGCTAGAATTACAGGTGTGAGCCATCACACCAGCCCAATTGTTGACGATATTGTATAGCACTTGCTTTCAAAAATCCACTCACGCATCCATACCTTCTCTCTCAAAACTACTTAAAGGTAAATTCTATTTTAAAACCTGTAGTTTTGACAGACTTAAAGTTTTTATCTTGAAAAGGAAATAAAAGTCATGTCAAAAGAACACCTCTTAGCACCTGGCACATATTAGGCACTCAAGTGTGTAATTTGTTTTTTGTATGTTTTGCTTTATTTTTGAAATTTCTGGTACAACATACTTGAGTACCTTAGAGAGTAGAGTTCAAACAGTAGTATAAACATGTTGTCTTATGGAGATACTTTATTGGTTTTTGGATTTTTTTTTTAATGCATAGGCCAAATTTCCTTTACTGAGTGCTTGTTCTGTACTAGACACTATTCAGATCCTGGGGACCAATGAAAAACAAAATGTACTCTCAGATCACTTATTGTCTACATCTTCAATAGAAAGATAATTACAAAAGAGTGTGATAAGCTCTTAGAGGTATTTGTGATAATAGCACCATATTTCCTTTGCCATTTATCTTACCTAAATACTTCATTCAACATATTCCAACAGTAAGAAAGACACAGAGATACGCAGACGTGAGCTCCTAGAATCCATTTCTCCAGCTTTATTAAGCTACCTGCAAGGACATGCTCGAGAGGTGGCACTGGATAAGTCTGCATGTGTGTTGGTGTCCGCCATTCTAGGGTCTGCTACTGGAGACATTCAGCCTGCCATGAATGCCATCGCCAACTTGGCAGCAGCAGAACTGCATCCTGGTGGCAAGGACGGAGAGGTAGGGTGCTGTTACAGGATAGGCAGGAAATCTGCAGGGGTCACAAAAGCTTCAGTTGCTGTAAAAAGCATTTTGGTAATGATTATTTCAACTCACCTCATAACAGCAATACATTAAAAATTATAAAATCATAACATGGTGTTGTTTCAACCCTTGTCTGTCTCAAAAATTTGCTTCATGTTACCATAGAGTGAAATGAGAATCCTCTTTCTGTGACTCTCTGTCATCTGTGGTTGGTTCCAGACTGCCTTTTCAGCATGTTCTATATACACCTGATTTCGATTTTGGATTTACTTTGAATGCTTCCTTCCTCCCTCATCCTAACCATTCGCTGCCGCACTCCCCCCTCCCCCCCTCCCCCACGCCGTCTCCATTTCCCTGTGCTCTGCCCTAGAAAGCCTTACTCATTAAAGTTCCTGGAGCCCTTCTCCATGCTGTCTTTCCTGATTCCCCCTCATTAGAAGATACTTGCTCTTTCTGATAGTGCCTTCCTGTTTGGGGGCCTCATATTATTCTGCTTCACATCTTAAGTTCATGACTCATGCACCTGATATATACTAGACAGTGGCCAGCACCACCCCTCAAGAGCTTCCAATTTGGGGGAACATACTATTTAAATAAATATTTTTCACGAATAATTATTTAAGTTAGAATAGAGAGGGGAGCTATGAAGGAACAAACAGTTTGATGGGATTGTGTAAGAGTATGTAAGAGTCAGCCCACCCTAGGAAGGCTTCCCAGAGACTGTGAAAGCTAAGCTGAGACATGAAAGATTAGTAGCTCAGTGAAGAGTGGTAGATGATTCTAGGCAGAGGGAACAACAGGCTGTACAGCAGCCCTGAGAAAGGAGGGAGCTGGGCATGTTTGAGAGCAGAAGGTTCAAAGGTTGGAAATCAGTAAGCAAAGGGAAGGGAACAGAGACCAGATCACACAGAGCCGTTGTCCTACACTGAGTCACAAGCTCCTGACCAATCGACGTTTGTAAGGAACCTGCTATTTTCTGCCCTCTGCTTTCACTTAATTCTCACAGTAATTTTTCATTATTGTGCCCAATATTACATTTTAAGGATATGTAGTAATTTATTCAAGCTCCAGACCTTTGATTCATTAATCAAAAATGCAGTACTCCACACTGCGTGCTTACAGGGGTGTTCAAAGATGAACTAACAGAGTCCCTGCCCTTAAGGAGCTTGAGATCCATTGGAGAGACCTTGTAGGCAAGACATTACAGTACAACAAGGTAATTGACATAATGAATTATGTTCAGGATACAGTGGCAACTGAACAATAACATCTGAATTTTAGTCCAAATCTAAAGACTTCTGACTAGCACCATGGATAGTTTTACTGAGAAATGCTTTACTACAGGTAATACAGTGCCTCATAGTAGCAGTTAGGTATGTAATTACCATAATTAGAAAAACAGTGGCACACAGTGCTGGGTGTGATGCAGCATTTCAGTGATACTGCCTCCCTAGTTGGCTCTACTGTCTATAGGGCTGCAGTGGCATTATGGTCTCAAGCTGTCTTCACAGCCTCAGCTCATGTTTCCACAGCAATGTCCCTAGCAGGAAGGAAAGAGCATGATGGACTTTCTTCCTGGAGCTGAGAAGAAAACCTCTAAACAGGCTTCCCTGTTTTATTGTACAGAACCAAGTCACATGCCCACTTCTGGGCCAATCTCTGGTAAAAATGGTTGGATTACCAGAACTGATTGATACCAGTTAGGAGGTATCCCCTGAGGTCAGGTGGAATCTTTAGAAAATGCGGGTGAAGGGGGTGGGGTATCAGAGAAGAAAGTTGGGGGGAGGGGGGGCGGTGAGAAATGAACTCACCTGTCCAGAATCAAAGGATAGAGACAGAGACGAGTAAAGCAGAAGCGAGACTTCCATGATGGTCTTGCAAGATTGGTTATCTGGTGGGCAGGTACACCGAAGCGGGAAGATTCAGCACTTTTATCCTTCTCCTGGTTCCTCATTGGAGCAATACTTGTAGGAGTTACACACTTTGCAGTAGGACACCTACATGTTACATGTTGATTGGTTTTACAGAATTACTTCATTTACATGTCCTATTTGCCATTTGGCTTATAGGATTGCTGTTCTGATTGAATTCTGCCAAAAATTTAAACATGTAGCTTGCCAAAGTGAAAAGCCTGTGAAAAGGAAGCACAACGCATTTAGATACCATTTTGAGAACCCAAGATAAGCTAGGCTCCGATTTGAAAATAAATCACCATTCTTATTTCTTACAAGGGAGGCACCTGTTGAGTAAACAGCCAAGGGTCTTTTCCACAACAGCAATTGAATTTATCTAAATTCCCTCTCACCACCTTAGTTGAAACCTGGCACTTGGAAATGTTTTGTACAGATGTGTATTTGGTTATGAATAAAATCATTGCCTATTATTAGTACCCATAAGTGCTTCTGACACGTAAGATCAGGAAAGAGAAATGGGCTGGGATCTTAGAGAAGCCCTGACCCCTGAACTCAGAGCAGATCCTACTGACATGTGGCAGAGAGGAATGCATCATGACAGTTTTCTCTCTAAGGAGATTGAACCTACTGTCTCCCATTAACAAGGAGAGGTCCCAAGTACTGTGGGACAGTTGCCATGGCCCTTGAAAAGGATTAAGGTTGAACAAAAGGGGTGCTCTCTTGGCCTGCTAATCTTATAATTCCCCGTAGATAGTCCCACGTGTGTAAACATCATTCAGCATTGGATTTTGATATTTCTGTTTTAGTGTTCTATCCCATAAGTTTATTTGTACCTCACAACTGCATATGACAATCTAAAGGGTGGTTATCTTGACTTAAAAATGAGCACAGTGGTGGTGGTGTTCAAAGTGGAACTTATGAAGCTGATTATGACATGCTTTGCAGGGGCTGCATTATATCGTATAACTATTATTTGGCATAATTATCTCCCTTTCTGACGGGATTAGAATGGATCTCTGTTTTCTCCTGGTAAGGTGGTCATTCTAGACAAAGACCTGAAGCTTTGTGGGACTTTAAACATGGCTGAGTCCTTCTCTGTGATGATGTAGAATGAATTGTGGGTATTCATTCAAACGTATTTGCATAGATAAAATTTGCACAGCCTTTTAAATGAGCTTTTTTCTTAACCCTCACAGCTTCATGTTGCAGAACATCCTGCAGGACATCTAGTTCTGAAGTGGTTAATAGAGCAAGATAAAAAAATGAAAGAAAATGGAAGAGAAGGTAGGTTATGAAACTTGACCTTTTCTTGTCTCTTATGTGGAATTCCAGTAATTCCTGGCATCCCTGAACTTTACACTGGCCATTTAAGTTCAAATGAAGTTTGTGAAATGTTTAGAAATTATGTCTGTGGATAAGAAATGATTTAGTGGTTGCAAGTAGTGCTTTTCCCCCTAGAAATTTGTGTCCAAGAATCTTTTGATTTTCTTTCTTTTTTTCACCCACCTTCACTCCCTCTGTCTTTCCTCCTCTAATGCTTTATCTTTCCTCCTCTGCTGCTTTAGACTTCTAACCTCACTTTATATTTCTTTAGGATTGTGATGAGGTAGAGGACGCCAGTTGTGAGTAGCAATACCCAAGTTGAAAAATATTTATCTCTAGTTTTGAGGAGTGAATAAATAGAAAAAAATTATTCTCATCACAGAATTTTGGACTGGTGCCTATTATTTATTATTGAAATACATATGACCAAAGAACAAGCCAGTCCTTGGTGCTTTCTGGTTTTTTATAAGCTTTACAACTGCTCTGTGGAAACTAGCTCTCAAGAGGAGGACAGCTTTAAAAGTTGCATGGCATTCCCCTCTTAGTCCTATCTTTAACCAGATCTTCACTTATAATTCCAAATTCCATGTGGTATTTAAGCCACTAAAGAGAGTTTTACCCCCACTGAGCTTAAACAGTTTTGGTTTTCTACTACTGTGTCTAAAAAAAACGACAGATCATGGATTCCTGTCTTGAGGCAAGTGGCAGTTCTAATGGCTAGTGAGGCAATCAGTTTAGCCATAGAGTTGTCACTTCTCACTTAACCCTTAAGAATGGACTTGAGGCTATTTTTCACTGTAACTTTTTGGAAAAGAGAAAGCTTATAATAAATATTAAGGTAAAAAGAATGTGTAGAATTATCTTTTTCTTTATTAAAATAGTTGATGCAAAGTTGAGTTGAGTTTATTCCAGAAAAGTTGTCTGGCTCACTCTTGAAGTGAAAGGAATTTTCTGGTGATTTTTCTCCCTCCTAATTAAAATGTGCTGACAGCCTTAAAATATTCTTGTTTGGGCCTGGAGTATTTGTCTTTAACATGTAGCACCAAATGAGTGTATCTATCTGCATGTTTAGCTGTTAATTATCTGCCACTGTGTATCAAACCGCCTCAAAACTCAGTCCTTTTCAAAGTAACAGTTACTTGATCAGGACTCTGAAGAGCTTACTTCTGCCCTGCTCAGTGTCATCTGGATCTGGTCAATTTGGGGTTAGAGTGTCCACTTTTACAATTACTCATTTACATGGCTGGCAAGTTGCTGCTGGTTGTTGGCTGGGAGCCAACAGCCTCAGTTTCTCTTCCTAGGCTACTTGGGCTTCTTCACAAGATGGTTGTTGGGTTTTTTGGTTGTTGTTTTGGGGTTTTTTTTTTTGAGTTGGAGTCTCCCTCTTGTCGCCCAGGCTATAGTGAAGTGGCACGCTCACAGCCACCACAGCCTCAACCTGCTGGGCTTAGGCAGTCCTTCTGCCTCAGCCTTCCAAGTAGCTGGAACTACAGATGCATGCCAGCATGCTCAACTAGTTTTTGTGACTTATTGTAGAGACGAGGTCTCACCAAGTTGCCCAGGCTGGTATCAAACACCTGTGCTCAGGCAGTTCCTCTCACCTTGGCCTCCCAAAGTGCTGAGATTACAGCCTGAGCCACTGTGCCCGGCTGGTTGTTGGTTTTTAAGAGTGAGCATTCTGGCCAGGCTCGGTGGCTCAGTCTGTAATCCCAACACTTTAGGAGGCCGAGGCGAGTGGATTGCCTGAGCCCGCGGGTTCAAGACC